CGCGGCGCGGCGCGGGGCAGCTCCCCCCTCACCCCCCCCCGACCCGTGAGGGCGGCCTGCGCCGTTAGAAACGGTTACTCTGAGGTAACGCAAGTCGGGCGTTAAATCATAATTCCGCTGAGCCAGCGCGTTACACAGGTAACGCGGTGAATGAGGCCAACACAAGGCGGAGTCCGCGCCAGGGTTGTCCTCAGAGCACCCTGAAGCCAAGCGGAGCGGTGTTCCGCGGGGCGCGCTTCGCCTCTCCTTTCGGCTGGTCTTCCTATGACCAGCTGTTATTAATGCTATTTATTTCCTGCCGTCGTCTTAACAGCTATTGGTTTATCTTAACTGGCGTTGCAATACAAGCAGCAATTCTTTTAAATTCTTTTTTTCTCAGGCACGATAAGAAGTAGGAGAAACTCAGTCCTGCTCGCTGATCGCTGCGTCTCTCGGATGGTTTCAGATGAGCGGAGGGAAGAAGGTCTGATTCTGCGTATTTCCTCATTTATCCCCTTTTTCTCATTTATTTCCTCATTTGTGGTCCGTAAAGCCCATATTTGTGAAAGTTACTTAAATAGACCAAAAGAACTGCCACTTTAACGTAACAGAAAATACATAATCAGAAATTTGTAAGAACAGAAAATCTTGAGGGAAAGCATCTTTGGGATTTCACATCATCTTTTGCTCAGTTTCAGAGCTTACAAAAAGGAGTGATCCCTTCAGTCACAAAAGAAGGAAAACCCACTAATTTTTGCCTGATTTTTATTTGGAGTAAACTAAGAATATAAATTTGTTTGAAATCGAAATTTGTTGTGTTAGATAAGTATGTCCTACAGATCACCCATATTTTATCTGATTTCGGATAATAAAAAATTTCATGTATTTAAGAACCTGTAACATAGAGCAAACAGCTTATAATCTCCACCCGCACCTGTTCCATGACTAATAAAAGGCATTTGATTGTGTAGAGTGGCATAGGATACAACGTTGTGACATAAGACCATACATATTATTCTAAAAGTAAGTCTAAGAAGACTGCAATATGTAATTCCACAAACAAATCTATCTACTCGGGGTATTTTTTTCTCCTTTTCAGTTACCTGGTACCACACAAAATGTTCACTCTGTTTTGTCTAATAATTATGGATATATTGTAGATAAACATATTACTGGAACAGAGTGATTTTTGCAGTAGTAAAACATGGTGTTATAGTCTAATTATCTGTTATAATTAAGTCACATATTCTCCATATTTTTGGTCCCATTGCTTAACTGATTTTTAACAAATGCAGCTACTTTTTGCTGCAAAGGAATTCAACGCATGATAGTAGCCTATATGCTGTTCAAATCACCCTAATATGCAATTGAGGGCGACTGTACTCTCTAGTCTGCAGGCCAAAGCCAAGTGACACAATTGTGTTTTAAGAATGACTCACGCTACTTCACCTGTAGGATGTAACTTCTCAAAATAAATGTCTTCCTCTGTAGCCTATGTCAACTACATCATGTAATTTAAAACCTCCTTCTTTAGTAAGGTTCACAAGACCTTTTCAAGGTTCATTTGGAAGGTAAAAATAAGGATTGCTGTTAAAAATGTATAGGCCCACTGAGACATAGGAGAACTAAATCTCCCTAACATTAGGCTATATTTCTGGGCATCCCATATGGAGTATTTGGCAGCACAGTCCCAGGGAAACCCAAGGCTTCAACGACTCCAGATTGAACAACAGGCAGCAGGCCAAATTAATCTGGCAAACCTCCCATAGTGCCCAGTTGATCTACTGCTCACCTCAAGTTGCAAAGAATTTGATTACAGAGGCAATACCCAAGTCTGGATAAAACAAAAGCTGAAGATGTAGCTAAAGTGGCATAGATGCTCTGCAGTGCCGCTAATGTTTTCTTGCTCTGCTTGAATATGTCAGTCTACAAAAGAATTGTGTTTTGGCTTTACATTTGCTAATAACTATGTTATAGTGCTCTGTTGAAGTACTGAAATGGATATTCCTTACAGACAGAGGTTTGATTTTATTATATTCAAGCTGGGAATTCCCCATAAAATACTGATGTGTTTTAACATAATTCTAGTTCTATACGATCCCTGAACACACTACTTCATGTGTGGCAGAAAAGTTACTGGTGCTTTATACTGTTTTCCTGACCCATGCATAGACAAAGACGGAAGAGACAGTAGAGAGACTGCATAATTCCAGCTTAATGAAGTTAAAGTAGCTGAAAGTTGCTAAGTATTCAAGATACACACAAGCTATTGTTTTTATATAGAAATACTATTTGTCAGTACCTGTGTAGCAGCGTACGTAAAATAAAAATAAACAGCTTTAGAATGTACAGAAGCAACACCTCTTCTTGTTTTATCCGGTTACAGCCTTTCTCTATTTTGATATAGCACTAGCTATTCTTTGAGGAATCTGGTCTGCCCTTTGCTCCAAAAGACTTTTTATTATGCACAAATTTGGCATCTCACTTACTCAGAGTGATTGAGAATAGCATATTTTTGTTGATACTTGCAAAAAACTAGCTTCTTAAGTGTCTGAACTCATGAGATTGACTGGACTGTACAAATTAAGATTGATCCTAGGAAAAAAAAAAACACAGTTTGAGGGAAATGGTGGTTGCATTCAAAGACAAGTTAAAATCTATGCTAAAATAGATTACTTGTTTTGATAAAATTATTTTATTTTTGAATATGAGTTTTTTGCTAGGGCCCTTGACTTTAAGCCTTATCTATTAGGTGACATGATTATCACATGGGAATCTTTCCCTCCTTAAAAAATCCTTGTAAATCAAGGCAGAGTCGTTTATTTATGTAGTGGGAGATATTCAGGGACAACCCCCTGGCCTGCACTGAACCAAAGGTGAGATTCAGTACATAGTGTGCAACCACATGTTCCCACCATGCATGTTGGTTCATAGAAGGGGGTTTTATTCTTCTCTTTTATTCTAGGGAGTTGAGGGTGGCTTGAACATGTTCAGAAAAAAAAATGCTTAGATATGGTAAGAATGTGTAATATGATATGGTAAGAGGAGCCAGGCAGAGGGCACTGACAATGGTAAGAATGGATACCATAACAGGGGTCTGAAAAAACTTAATGATAGGCAAAAATACCGAGAAAGATATTATACTTGGACTTCTGGATGCATGACACAAGATCAAATGAAAAATACATATCTAGACAATGTAAAGGTTTGGATGATGAAGATGTATTGTATGAACACTGGGGGGGAAAAAAAGCAAATATTCTGAAAAAAGACAGGAATTCACTCTAAGACATGTCAGGTCACAGTATAACAGGAGTGGAAAAAAGCTATGAGAGATCACTCGTTTTCTCAACGAAAACAGAATGAAACAAAAAGAGGGAACATTTAACAAGAAATGAAATATAGCAAATGTAGAGATACTGATATTTTCATCTAGGAAAACAGCAAACTTAGGGTCCCAGTCTAAGGCCTAAGGATACAGACCTAATGTCTGTAATTGCAGAAGTTCCCACAGTCATAAGGGTTTCTCCAGCAGCATTCAGCAAGATATAAGAGGAAACAAGCTGGAAGGTGTGACAGGTCTGTGATCACTAAATCTATTTACTAATGGTAAATTCTTTCTCCTAAGTTACCTGGTACGATGCAAAATGAGGGAAGGAGTTAAGAACAGTAGAGAAAGCACAGAGAAGCATTTAGCAACTGAGCATGATGGAGAAATGGAAAAAAAAATTTGAGTAAATGGAGAGAAGAATGAAAATAAAGTTATAGCTATTAGTAGATTGGAGGTCTTCGAAGACCGTGGTATAGAGCCAATAGTCAGAAAATGCCTGTGCAATGACAGAGAAAAGGAAGTTATTCTTAGAAAGAAAGAACAAGGTGAGTGAAAGATGAAAGAAGGAAT